TTTTACTCACAGCACCCTCACGCATTAGCAGTAATATCGAAGGCTGGTAGGAGAGGGGGATAAGTACCTCTTTCCCCTGTACTGCAGATGGTTTTGTTCTAACTTCCAAGGCGGATAAGGGTTGGAGTGGGGGTTATTATCAGGGCTAGGGTTAGGACTCGAGAACAGGTACCCCTTTCAGGTAAAAAAAAACTACCTGTAATAAGTCGGCACCTACTCTCATGTCTACCACGAAGGCCGTCGTTGATCTGACGCATCGCCTAACATGCACTCTTGGAGCGGACACACGAAATGTGCTTTGGTAACGTCAAAAGGGGGGCCTACCCTTGAGGGATTTCCGTGCAGTACGCCCGCATTTGAAAGATTTGGCGGTTTTAACTCAGCTGAGTCCATCAATCAAGCATCTACTAGATTTATTCAACAAGTCAGTACAACTTGAACAGCATGGGGGTACTTATTTGTCACTCACCAACACAGTTTGTGGATTCAGGGCTGTTGTAAAGGACCCACTTTTGAGCGCCTTCAGAAGCTCTAAGTCTACCTTGCTTTGGTTACCTCATTATTAGTTCGATAAACTTGAACCACGGGTGCGGAGCTATGTATGCGGCCCAAATTTTGACGGGCTCTTCCGTACGTGAAGAACGTCTCGGAAGCTGTCAGTCGTCTTCCCACTCCACTTGGAGTTGGGGTTGCACACAGGCCGGAAGTAACCATTAGGCGCCAAGTCATGAGGCCAAAAGACCCGCTGCCACGGCAGGGAACGTCTGGAGTCGTTTACCGGATCTGATGCAGTTGCGGACAAAGCAACTACGTCGGAGAAACTGGGAGATTACTCCGTACGCGAATAGCCGAGCACGCAGCAGCAGTGAGGCGGGGAGACGCTAACTCTCAGGTGGTGGCACACTCGACCGGACCCGGCCATATTTTCAAATTTTAAGAGGCCGAAATCCTCGCAAGGGGTGACAGCCGCGTAAGCCGCGAGCTGCTCGAGTCGTGGTTCTCAGGCCCGCAATCCATCAACAAGCGCAATGACCTCCCGATACCATATTCCGTGCTGAGATTTTCCCTGGGCAGGGGAATCAGTCGCGTGGGGAGGGCGCGGTCAAGCAATTTTCCCAGTGACAGGGAGTTAATTTGTCGAGCCATCGTCATACCAGCATCCAGCACGGATGACGAAATCACGGTTATTAACGACTCGAACTCGGACTGACAAGCCACTATCGCATCAATTACGACCCCAGCGGTGATTGCGAGAGCTGTTAATTACAGTGCGCATACGGTCCCAGGGCAACCACGTGCTATAAATACTGCACTCCTTGTGCCACCGTCACCTTTATCTGCGACTGTCTCTGATGATGGATTCTAGTGAGAGTCCGAAACGTCAGGCCAATAAATGTCTTGTTCCACTGATCGCATCTTCGTCTTCTGATGAACAGCCAGTCTACGCGTGCCATATACGGCCTGCTTTTCATAGGAACATGAAGCGGTAGGTTCTGACGTTTGGGAGAGTGCCATGGAGGCCGCCTGAAGAAGGAATCAGAGGAACTTTTAGAAAACGAGCGGATTCACAAGGTGGGGAAATAAGTCGCCTTAGGACGGACTCTGACTGCCAATGCATCTATAACGCGTTTCATTCTGACCCACTGACACCAAGACCATCCCACAATCCGTGTGGAATAGTCGATATCCGTGCTTGTGGGTTGCCACTTTTTGCGAAGACTCTAGACAACGGGTATCGGTATACATTTGATATTTGGCATTGTCTACTGTGGCGGAAGGGCTTTTACCGGTTGGGTTGAGGGACCTGCTCGTCCCGCTGCGCCTTGTGACTCCATCTAGAACCCTTACAGACAGTTGCATGGCGACCAGGAATGGTGAAGTAAGGAGTACCGACAAAGACCAGGGAGACTGGGATGGCCATTTCTGGCTTAATACAGTAGGTGGGCTAACTCATGAAATCTCAACAGAAATTCCGAAATGCGTCTTCGCTTCGAAAAGATTAATTAAATATGGGTTGTAAAACCAATCATCGTGCAGCATAATTCTATAATCACAAAAGCTACACTCTGTAAAAAATGAATTCTTAAGTAGCATGCATTTTCTCATTGTTTTTCGATGCCCTTAAAAATTCAATGATGTTTCCTGGAAAACACGCATAAAAATATTCATTCTTTTGCTCACTCGGTAGACAATTACGTCGTCCTGCATTCTTATGTTCGACGGGAGGGTATAATTTGGTCTTATAAAACTTTTCCAATTCCCGAATAATTTTGAACCCGCGCTGCCGTTACACTTGCATTAAGGCTCCAAAACTACATGTATAATTTCCGCGTACGGAAAACCATTCATTTCTCTGTGGTATTAAAAGGAGACCATATGGCATTAATAAAATTAAACAGTGGACTTGAGCCATATTGTTAACTTTACAAGCCACATTGGTAAATGCAGAGACATGACGTTTTATGAAGAGCCATTTCATGATATTAAAAATCTCACAATTAGAAACTTTTTTAAAACCGAATTATACCCTTCCTTCGAGTGCAAAATTTGAAAACGACGTACTTTTCTACTGAATGAGCAAAGGAATGAATATTTTTATGCATGTTCTCCATGAAATATAATGGAATCTTTAAGGGCATCGAAAATCAATGAAAACATGCATGCTACTTAAGTACTCATTCTTTACGGAGTATGCTTTTTAGTTGCTGCCGGAAAAAAGTTTTTCGAAAGCCGGCGTCGGGGGGCAACTGAATTGTTATAGAATTATGCTGTGCGATGATTGGTTTTACAACCCTACTTAATTAATTTTTTTCGAATCGAAAACGCATTTCGGAATTTCTGTTGCGATTTCATGAGTTAGCCCATCAGTTCCATCAGCCCATGAGTGCCATCAGCCAGCATTACTCAACTTCAGGTCTATGGGACCTATGGTTCGGATCGGGGTTCTCTGGTCATTGAGCGTTAATTAATCCAACACTCTACCACTGTGCCATGGACCCGTTCTCTTGTTGATTGTGATCGAGTACATTGAATGTGATGAAATGGGGAGTTTACCGATCTGGTTACGGAAGATGCACATCCCGCGGCGCCTATCTAGAGCCCTCACAGGTAGTCGCGTAACGACCCGTATTTTATGCTATGCAACTGTCTGCGAGGACTCTACACTGGACCCCGAGGCAGAACGGGACGAGCGCGTCGGCAAGGTGGACCTCCTTCCACCATAGCTAATATTCTTGATCACGACCCTTAAGCTTGTGGCTCAACGGTAGATCTTTGAATTTATTAACGCTTAATGACCAGAGAGCCCCGGTTCGAATCATAGGTCCTATAAACCTGGGGTTGTCTGTGTCTGGCCAGCGACGCCTACTAAGCCAGAAGCCTCCCTTTTCTCTGTCGGTACTCCCCATTCTCAACATTTTCTACTGTTTTTGTCAGTACATGTAGACTGTGGGAAATTTAGACTCGCAAAAACCGCTACAAGGAGCTCGTTATCCGAGCTAGAAGGAATAGGAGGTCGGTTAAGTCCTGCCGTTGCCGGCAGTTGCCATGCTAGCCCCAAGATCGAGCATGCCGTCTCACAACATTGGCTTCCCGCGCGGTTGTGGGCTCGTCAGCCTCGTGCAGCCTGTACTGCTCAATAAAAAGGTCTGAAGGCGTGTGCTATGCCAGCGTCAGCAAACCATCGCCCTCGCAGCCTGGTATGAGCTGGCAGTTCCCTGACACATGGTTCCCAGCCGGTAGATACGCTTGCTCTCCTGCTAGACATACAGGTGGTGGCCACAGCTGCCCAATCATCATCCTCCTTCTGGCCCCTGTTGGGGTGTTGTTGTTGGTGGAAAATCCTGGTCAGGTGTATGTTGTGGACCAAGGAGTGTGGTGGTATGCCTATGTGCGGGTTCAGCCATAGCGGACACCTGCGCCCTCCCCGCCTCTGGTCTTCTTGGCTCTGTCTTGACACTGGGTCCAAGTGGGGAGTTGGGATGAGAGAGTGTGGTAGATGCTGTGCAAGTACTGTCACTTTAAACTAATTCACGTGCAAGTCACCGTGTCTGCTTCACCTCTCAATGGATCACACGGACATCGTCGCCAACGACGGTCGAACTGCTCAATAGGAGCGTGGCCCGCGTCCTGTGGCAGAATATCTTTCTGCTGGAGGTTCATTTTGTCAGTCACTTGAGGTCGCGGACAGCACAATCTGTGTGAAGATGAAGTTAGGCTCTCCGGAACAGGTTTATTTAAGTGCTGACGTTTCAAAGAGCTGGGTCGGCTCTTCATTGTCAAAGCGCAAAATGCACTTTATCGATCAGAAATTTGACTTAAAGTGGCATGTTGTGTTGGCCGGCCGCATGCTGATCGATTTTTCCCTCCTCTCGCTGCCTCGGCCTCTTGGGAGATGGTTGACGGGCGTTTTGCCTGTGTGCTTTGTGAGTCACCACTCCGTCGAGGGGAGCTGATTGGACTTTAGTCACGCGGTCGGTCTGGCGGTTCTTCGTCTTCCTCACCGAGTAAACTCAGCGTCGGGCTATCTCCGTGTGGCCTTCTTAAGTCCGGTGTGGTTGTTTGGTCCTGAGCTCTATGATTGTGATGACGTAGGACTTTGTAAGCTGCAGGAAGAACCGCCAGACCGACCGCCCGACTAAAGTCCAATCCGCTCCCCTCGTCAGTCGAGGGAACCTAATTAGTTAACTAGTATGCGTTCAGATGCCCGTAGCTCTAATCCCAAACTCAACTCCCCCGTATTGGCAAAAAGGACTACCTATAAAAGCATCCACCTCTGAAACTCATTTGCGCGAAGCATCAAAGCGGTAGAGTTTAAGAGACCCCAAGGAGGTGTTGAGTATCATCTCGAAAGGCGTTCTGGAAGTCACATGTCGTGGAAGACAGAAGTAAGTACGGGATTTTTTGTTCAGCCATAAAAAGACATTCAGATGAAGGAAAGGCAGTGAATTTTGTCTTAATCTAATTCGTTAATTAGAAAATCGTCTGGGCAAATGGAAGGGTTTTGAAAATGTGTTGCTTGCACCTTCCATAATACATGACTGCAGACTAGCAATAGGGCTTGCTCTGATTCAATGCACCGGACACTAAGTCTTCTCCTAATATGAAATTTGCGAGTTCCCAACACAGTTTGCCTCTAAAGCCCTACCACCACAGCCGACACGATACAACAGTTCAACGTCGTTGCCGACGATGTTCTTCCTGACCTCCATAGCAGAGTGGCTTGCACGCGATAGTGGGCTTGTGCAGCATCTAGCGCACTGTCTCTTCCCCATTCCTCACATGGACCCGGTGTCAAGACAGAGTCAAAAAGACAGGAGGCGGATGAGAGAGTACAGGTAGCTGGCGCTACGAAAACCCGCACCCAGGCGTACTATCACACTCCTTGGTCCACAACGTACATCTGACCAGAATTTTAGGGGGGCGGCACGAATCACACTGAGCACGGCGTAAGCCTGCAATTAGACCTGCCACCACACGCTGAATATTGACAGTTGGGTAAGGATCTAGTGAAGGCCCCCCAGTGACACCAACTAGCCACAGCCGCCTCTCCTATGGGAATGGCTGTAATAGGGGTTTTGCGGATGGGACATCGTAATGGTATGTTAACTGTCAAAAAATGAGGAAAGTGAGTTAAGTGCTTCACAGTTTGACTCAAAACTCAAAATACCCTTAAATATAGCAACGAAAACAATTCACACGATGCTGCCCTAGGTGTCGCAACACAGTCAACGGTAGGTAGTGCTAAGGCGAAGGACATAATCCGCGATAGAGTAATAAAGTGCGACCCCCGTTTCTCAACTCTCTGAGCTAAGGTCATGCTCAGTTAAACAATGGGAAATCAGATGATAGCCTCCCAATCGAATGTGCAAGAGTCTACGAGGAACGACCATGTTTAGGAGAGTATCGAATAAAACACGACCCACTTAAACACGTACGGTAGGCATTCTTTGTACGCCGTAGATACTTGGGACCTTCACTAGATCCTTACCGACATTTGTTGTGGGCGCGCATTCCCAATAAAGTCTGCCAGACTCCGATCTAACTCTCGTGTTGGGCCAGTGCATTTACCGCGTGACCTGTTTTAGGGGCACAACCGTCGCTTCGGTCAATACCCACCGTGCGTACCACGTCAGGGTGGGTACAGTGACGGTGACCCGGACGTGAATTACTTTATAATGGAAGTGAACTTTCGATGTATCTACCTCACTCTCCCTCTCTTCCCTCACCCCCCTTGGTCCGGTGTCAGGTGGCTGACGCGGTGTGGCCATCCACATGGACGTGACATCGCACCCCCCAAGCATGGCATTTGTTATGTGTGCGCGGACCAATAACGTGTGCCGTACTGTGATCTGGCTCCCGCATTGGTCCAGCGCAGCTTCCGCGTGGCCTCCCGCCGCCACCATCATTTAAAAATGCATTCACGGGATTTTCCATTAAATTCCACTGCATCGATCTGTCCTGCATTATCTGGTTTTCAATTTGTCTATCTTTCTTTTCTTGCAGTCTACTTTCTTCTCAGAACATCGCGAAACACAGGCGAGACTTACTGCGGAACGAAACTCTGTCCTAGATCAGCAACAACGACTACGCGCCGACCAAATGAGCTGGCAGAAACGCCAGGAGGAAGAGGAGGCTCGGATAAACAAGGTTATCTCCAGTTAAAACATAATTCCTACTCACATATTCCCGACCCCCATTGTAGGGAGGTGGGATGTATATTCTGCCATTAAAATCCCAACGGCTGAGAAACTTGTCCCCACTTTTACCTCGCAGATAGGCTATTCCGATTCCCAAATATTAAACATGACGGTGGTGTAATCCTTCGGTTACTTATCAAGTTCTGCCCGCATATTGACTGATCAGAAGCTCGGTATTGGCAGTTGTTTTGGAGCATTCTTAACTAAATAATAGTTGAGTGTCCCTCTAACCAACCATCATTGAGGTGCTTAAGTCACTGGGGTAAGCGTGTTAGTGCTAGTTCATAATGATTGGTCAGTTCTAGAATTACCTTTTTTCGTGGATTTTAGATGAAAGAAGAGACTACGGCAGCTAAAGAGGCGTTCCAGATGGAGCTGCGCACCCTAGATGAAAGAATGCACCAAATCCGTGTTAATGAAGTGAAACTTGGAGAGACGCAACGTCACCTTGACATCATTCGGTCAGTTGCTGTTTTCTTCTTTAAAACTGGTTCAGCCTGTCCACTTCGAATTGGAAATATGGCATGAGTGATGGTCCGATGCACAAAGCGGACACCGCAATTTATCTTTTAGTAGGGTTCCTTGTGACCCTGCTTGTGAATCTACCAGAAGAAGTTTTCACCGGGAAGACACAAGAATTCTAGACCACTTATGAAACCATCGCTTCTCCGCAGGGTGATTTTGACGGCACTGAAATGTAAGGTAATATCTTGATATGGGAAAAGATTCGAGATTCGAAAGGTAATACCTATAGCGCTGAAAGTATAGTGACCATAATGACAGCGAGGGTGATCACGCCAATAATTGGGATTCTTATCATCATTACAACAGGGGTGATGAAGACGGTGCCGATTTTACTGGTAATCATAGTACTACCAGGGCGACAACGGTGAATATGGAAGAAAAATCGGGCCCTGTGGCAGTCTGTTTCTATGACCACAGTCACCAACTCACGTAACCCGCCATATGCTTAAAACAGTTATATTTATTGTCTACTGCATTAGGTTAGTAGCTGTAGTTGCATATTTTAAATTTCTTTAGAAAACAATTGCTTCCTTAGGGTTAATCAGTCCATTTGCGACCTTAAGGCCAGACTGAAATTTGGTGTGGATATTTGGATCGAAGTCCATCAGCCGCAGCTAGCTTTTAGCCGGTACCTCTGCTGTATGAGCCATGTTTGCTGGTGGCTGTTATGGATGGCACGCGGTTATTCCGCTGGAGTTGATGGACTTCAGCCCAAATATTCATATCGACTTCCAGTCTCAGCCCATAAGTTTCAAATAAACTGGCTTACTCCAAGGTAGCGATTAATTTCTCGGGAAATTAAAAATCTACAATTCTAAAGCTGTGATATCTTTCAGGAAGCACATACAGTGGGTGGTCGATCTCATGAAATGTTGGTCGAGATTCTGAAATGCGTTTTCGATTAAGAAGGATTACTTAGGTGGGGTTGTAAAATTAATTATCATGCGACGTAATCCTATAATATTTCAGACTTGCCAGTCTGTCAGCCTTTCGATGCACTTCTTTTCGTCCGCACTCGGTAGAAAATGACTGCTTATTCATCATGTACCTTTCGTGCTGATTTTTGATGAACTTATAAATTCAAATATATTTTAACGGAAACATATGCAAAGTACGCTTTCTTTTACTCGTTTGGCAGAAAATCGCGTTGTCTTTGCATTTTATACCCGACGAAAGTGTATATTTCGGTTTTGAAAAGGTTTCCTAATTCCCGAAAAATTTTGAGCTTAATCAGTCGCTGCACTAGCATTTAGCGATTTCAGTCTACGAAGTGCATGCTTTCCGCGCAAGAGAAAGCATGTTTCTCTATGCCTTTAAGAAGATGCCATATAGAGTTCATGCAATTTTGCAATGAACGCGGACTATGTTGTACATTTCCTGCGCCTTTTCAACCGTTTATTTTGCATTTTCATTTAACTGGCGGTCGTTCACTAGTTTTGTATTTCCTCGAAATCACTTGAATCGGTGATTTTTCGTTAATTTAGGCACTTTTCATTACTTTGACCACAAACTGGAAGTTGCCTCTTTAAAAGCTGCTTCAACTTGGTATTTTGACGAATGTCTACATACTTTATCTTCTTTCCAATCGGGTTTTTAAAAATTGGAATGTTTCATACTACCATTTCATGTGTCACGTCTTATGGTCAGTTAGTTGCGAGTTTACATTTGGTGGTACTGAGGAAAAAGCCAATACCGATGGTGCGATGTATCAAACAACAGTAAAAACAGTAAATATGTTCACGGCACCTGTGAAGTTTAACTCGAGTGGGATGGTAAAGCAGAAGCTCAGATGTGGTTACGCAGCCGCACTTAAGGTAGACCGCTGTCTAGCTCAGACGGAATAAGCCTACGAACGAGAAATCGTTATCCTGTAGTCCAGGGCCAAGCACTCTAGGTCCGCATTCAACCGTCCATCAGCGCTTTTCGCTGAAGCCACCGAAAATCTCCAACGGGCGTAGACCGCTGATGACTTCATGCATCAGTCTTTCCTGTAGATAATAGCCGGATTTTTGCAGGAAACGTTCAGATGAGAAGCACACACCCCGAAATCTACTAACGTGGGGCCGTAAACTCCCAACCAAGCCTACTTCACTATTTCACGAGATTTCAGGAATGTAGTTATTGCTCATCCGTACAACCGCAAAGAAAACGGGCGGTCAGATGTGGTTATGTAGCCCCACCTGAAGCAAACAAACCCAAGTCACCTGTAATACGGGATTGATGGTAATAGGGGTTTTTACATGTGGGGCCAGGAACGCACAGGCGACGGGGCCGAGTTACTATGCAAAAGAAAAGTTATTGGAAATTCGCGGTTGTACTTTGAGTAGTTGAGAAATGGTTGCCCTAATCCCTAATCGTAACCTCCAAACCTAGCCACTAACTCTAACGCCTAACAGTATTGTGTTCATCAGGTGTGGCTACATAACCACATCTTACCAAGCAGTACATATTGGTTTGATTATCCCCGCCAAACGAGTTGATTATAGAATAAAATCGGGATATACCTGTTTTCGCAAAGATGCTACGTTTCCGGCGGATACAATGTACTTTGTTCCACACATATCTTAAGCTCTGGGAATGTTCTTTACTAACTTTGCCTGGTTTTGGGGCAAATGATGGGAAAATAGGTCTACAATGGTCACTTGCTAGTGGCACCACTTCCCAATGTATGTCCGTTATTAATTGTCGTAACCTAATTGATAATTAGCCTGTTTTACTGTGTCTGGGTGATAGAGCAGGCTTTAGGGACTGTGTTCGTATGCTATGCCATAATTCAGCAAACTATGGCCCTCGCAGCCCGGCGTGCGCTGGCTCTTCTCTGGTACCTGACTCCCTGTCGGTGGATGCGCTTTCTCTCCCGCTGAGTATATAAGCCGTGTGCATGGTCACCCAGAGGCTTGTGTTATTCTCTCCTCCTTGTGACCCATTTTTTTGTTGGTTAAAATCCTGATCAAGTGTTTGTTGTGGACCAGGAGGTGCGGTGGTAGGCCTAGGTGCGGGCCCGGCCGTATCAGGGTGCGTTAGATGCTTTGCAAGTCCACCCTCATCATAAAATAATTCACGCACATGTCACCGTGCCTGTTCTCACCTTGCCGTGGAGCACACAGTAGGCATTGTCGGCAACGGCTGTCGGACTGTCGGGTGTTAGACTTAGGCGTCTGTACCAGATCCTATTTGGTAAGAGACACCCACTCGCTCAACCTACTACGGAAAGCAGTCTGATATGCCTCAGGGTCAGCCATCTCGCTACCGAAGGCCCAATTGCGTTTTTTTTCACATCAGAACGGACGGCTCGATTTTTTTGCCCAATTACCAGCACTGTCCCACACAGTTCTGCCCTAGGTCTTCTAGCCTCCAGGAGCATTCATGCTCGCGCCTCTCTGTTGTTGCTGTCTTTTAAAAGAAACGACTTGGCCAATAAAGAGACCGCGGTGACCGAGAAGATGGCGGAGCTGGATCTGCGAGAACAGGATCTTGCTACGCGACTGGGAACGCTGAATGGAATGCAAACAGCGGTAGCGGAGGTCGATGCGCGCTGCCGTCGACTACAGGAGGAACAGTCGCGCGCCCAGACTGAACTGACTGCCCAGCGGAAGGAAGTTGAAGAGACCGAGCGTCGACTGGCTCAGGTTCGTGATCTAGGGCGAGGGAAATGGTTGCTGTCCCCTCTTGATTAAGTGGCATTTTTCGAACGTAAAATCCTTGTAGGTACATCTTATGACTTCTCTGTTTTCAAAGCTTTAAAACGATGCCTTTTGTAATTGCCCTTTCAGGAAAAACAGGAACTGGAGAGACGGGAAGAAGAGTTTGAGAAAAAACTGAGGGCAGAGCGGAAACTGGTGTGTTCTCGATGCAAGCAGCCGGTAAGGAAAGTCCCAAATCGAGTCGCTACCAATGGTAGGAGTAAACATGATCAGTCAACGGACGATGAGCAACTTACAACGAAAAACGGCAGAGCAAAGATCCGATGGGCGCAAGGTGAACCTTTTAGCTGCACCGATGGTACCATTGTTCTACACATCGATGACTACTGCAAATTTGTGTCTTTATTGTAGCGCGAAATCCAGACGTTCTCCAAGCCACGATGCAAGCAGCACTTGATGTGGAGCCGGAAGCAGTTAAATTAGTAGACGACATATCTAACGAATACTCGCGCGTCCGTGTTCTGGAACAGCTTCGACAAGAGTTGGTTAAGGTTGCTTTACTTATACCTGTCTACTATTTTATAAATAGTACGGTTTAAGTCTACATTTTATTTAATTTGTTCTTTAGGATGCCAATTTCTTGGAGGATGAAAAGGTATTCTTGAACGGTCTTCAACACTCGCCTTATGCAACGGATCCTTCTCCGCATCGTCTGACCTGAGTCATACTTGATTATTATCCCTCAATTGTGTATGCTTGTCCCAAACACCGCTGTGCCCCTTACGTCCCCAACGAAGTTCCTCTTTTGAGTCTACTTACGCCCTTCCATAACAAAGTTTGCTGTTTTAAGCAGCCTAGCTTATATCCCTTTTACATATCTTCTCACTTGGGACGGCCCGGGGACCTCTGCTCGTCCTTGAGGACAGACTGTCTGGTGCAGTTTGTCAAGACCAGTTGGAGTTAACGGTGATCAGAAGTACTTCATTTAATATAATACACATGTATATGTACACTGTACATATTAGGCTAGAACAGATTTCTCGAGGAAGGAAAGTCGACATTGTCTATGTTGAAAGCCCAATGGATTTAACTGCGAGGCGGAGGAGGAGGAGGAGGAGGAGGAGGAGGAGGAGGAGGAGGAGGAAGAAGAAGATGGTGGGAAGAAGGGAGTGTGTCTCTAAGTTGTCACGACTTGAAACTGTGACATGCCGTTGGCTGGCGCAGCCTCATAACGAGCCTCGACAGGCCAATCAGGATGTCCCATATTCTGCTGCTCTCTGCCCGACAACCCCCAGACTTCAGTGAAGGCCACAGAGGGATCGCTGTTCACGAGCATCTGTTGACTCGGTGACCCAGCCACTGAAGGGGAGGCCGATGAGGATGAGGTCGGTGAGCCTGTCGACCGAAGGCTAATGGGCGGTGTGGCCGCGAGTGGTGTGGGTAAGATGAAGAGGTCAGAGGGGTAGTGAGAAGTCTCACTAAATGTATGCACTTCTCCGGGCTTGCTCAAAAGGTCGTAAGTGAAGTTGGTATTTCTGTTAAATGGGCCAGTCGTGGGCAGCGTACTGATGAGTGTGTTCTGTGACCCGGCGAAATGAATGCATGAATCCGGTCGGAGGGGTAGGGAAAAGGGGTATGTGGGCAGGCCTGCATCAGTGCCTTCGGCACGCCCGGCGAGGTGGTCGTTATACCAGTCCTGGGCGAAAGTGACGTCGGGCAGGGACTTAAGTGCCTCGGTCTCGGGTTTGTGGATTCGCTGTTGCTGGGGCAGGGAGCTTGGACAGGCGCGCTTCCTGGAAAGACTGGTGGATGCAAAGGTGTTTGCATTTGGGAAGTAGCCTTTGCTCGCAGTGGGGACGTCCAGGAAGGCAGCCCCGTTCGTTGAATCGAAAGGGGAGGCAATTTGGTTAGCTTGCAATTGCTCCTCTGGATATTCAGTTCCCCTGCAGGCAATGAGTAAAAGAATATTTGAGACATAAAGATACATTTCAGTTAGTATCTAAACGTATAAGTGGGAGTCCGCAGGAACCGTGTAGTTAAGATTCACTTTCATTTGGTGGCGAGACCGACCAGCAACTTTTACGTCTCTGAGCAATGTCACATCCTGAAGATGTCTTTGTGGCCATTGAGATCCCAGTCTCTCTAATGATTCGAGACGATCACAAGTGTCTGGCATTCGTACTCTGGCGACTTCTTGGAAGGTAACTGGCGCGTATTAGGTGGGCTATCGGTCTCAATCACCCCTATGACCATTCTGCGCCGTGGCTATGCCTACTTGGGTATCTGCAGCCCGATTGGGCGAATGGAACTGACGATTCTTCCTCATCGAAAACTACGAAGGAGCATTAGTTTATCTCGACAACACTCGAGCAGAGTGCACTGTGGCCAATTAACTGTTTCTCCTATTTTCATCAGTTATTCTGACTGTCCTGTCAGACAGAGACTTGGTCTCGGGCGACGGTCTGCGGCCTTAATCCTAGCGTTAAAAGGCAAAACCTATCAATACTGACTTATGCTCCGTGCTCCCAGCCCGTGATGGGAATATGGTGGATCAGTCGGTGTTTGTATGCTTCTGACTGCCTGTTGACAGTACTAGTATTGAAGAAGGAGATACGTTTCGGATTCCTGCTCGAACCCATCATCAGAGACAAAAGCAGATACGGGTGGTTCATGCACAAGGGGCTGCGGTATTTATAGGATGCAGTCGCCATGCTACCGCATACCTATGAACACTCACGGCTCCCCCCCTCATCCATCATCTTGTCCCAGCGATCATGTCTCCTTCTTCAAGACTGCTTCCTGGGACTCGTCTCTTTGCTTCTATTGGCAGTCCTAGTATTACGTAATTACTTCGCCGGAACTGGTGGATTTCGGTTCAAACATCCATATAAACTTTCAAACCGGTCCTGAGGAGGTTTCTAAATGAGAATTCACTTCAAGTTAGTTATTCAATGTTCGAGTGGATTTAATAGTTTTAAAGGACCTCTCATGTCCGCTATGCGTACACAAGAAGCCTGATCTTAGATTGGCCTTCAAAAGAAGCTCTGAAAGGTACTTCAGGTGGGTTTGCGACTGACGTTTCCCTCACCGTGACACTCACATGGACGCGCGAAAAGGCCCACGTGAAATAAAAATGACGAAAGAATATTGCACACCACAGTTTTCTTATAGGTCGATATCTGGAAGTGTACCGGTTTCTGGGGAAGATGATATAATCACCTCAGAACAAGTTACTAGATTGATGAACGAACTTGAGACCGGGGGCTACAGTCCGCGCGCAGACCATTCATCGAAAGGACACAACGTCCACCAGTCGGAAATTTGGTGTCATTTATCAGATCGGATGCAACTTTGGCCAAACCAGTTATGTTGGCGAAACTGGCAAACAGATCCACGCGAGACGGCTTGGATACGAGTCGACGGAAAGACACAGTTCCCGTGTGAGGTGTCTATTCCTCCCCGCCGGGGCAAGGCGTTGATTTCGAGTGCGTGAAAAAGATAGGCCAGCCGTGTTTAACGTCTACTATAGGGTGCGTGACACTTGAATGAGGATTCGATCATTGAATGTATCGACTTGCTGGCCACCCATCAAACGCTGCAAGACCGAATGAATGAGAGAGCTAAAGGCCAGTTCCGACAAACGCCACTTCCATGTGCACTGAGTCATATCTTACGTCATTCCCTGTAGATGAGCTCGGCTTGGAGTCCAAAGCGTCGGATCAACAAACAACCGGTCTCAGAACTCGCTCTCCTTCTTCTATTTAATTGTCTGGACCTCGTGTGTTGTCTGTAATCCGGAATACGGACTTTTGGAGAAGTCAGCAACATGCAATCATATGGGAATTTTTAGTTTCCCTATCCTTTTTCGCCAACTGCGCACTAAAGTACGCGTCAGATGACAGTGTATTCTTTGGTGTTGTCGTATGCCGGGCCCATATGGGGGAGGAGTGAGTGCGGTAAACGCTGCGCAAGTCTGCTATCACTATAAACTATTTCATGGACATGTCACTGCCCTCCTCCCACCTCTCCACGGTGCACACAGTGGACAATCACGCGCTGAAGGAAACTGCAGATGATAGTGTCTTTAGTGTTTTCGTACGCGGTTGGCTTGGGAAGAAGAGGAACATAACTTCATCGCGGACATGGCTATTGCAAATAAGTATGAACGGCCAAGCAGGCCCTACATTCTCGACGCCTTTCCATAGAAGAATGAGCTGTTGCATGTCGTCCTGAACACGCTCAACAATCAGCTGCATGTTGTACCATTGTTGCATTCTGTGCAGGCAGCATAATGTTTCGCATTAAGTCGACTTGGACTCAACATACGGTAGGTGGGCTAACTCATGAAATGCCAACAGAACTTCCGAAATGCCTTTCCGTCTCGAAAAGATTAATTAACTAAGATTGCAAAACTAATAGTCGAACAGCATAATTCTATAATAAATCAGTTACCCCAGGACGCCGGCTTTCAAGGAAAATTCTTCTCGGCTGCATCCAAAAACCATACTCCGTAAAGAATGGCTACTAAATTAGCATTCATTGTTTTCGTTTATTTTTGATGCCCTTAAAGATTCAATTATATTTCATGGAAAACATGCACAAAAATATTCACTCCTTTGCTCATTCAGTAGGACATTACGTCTTCTTTCAATTTTACACTCGAAGGAAGGGTATAATTCGGTTTTAAAATTTTCTAACTGGGAGATTTTTTAATGTTGTGAAATGGCCCTTCATAAAACGTCATGTCTCTGCATTTACCAATGCGGCTCAAATCCACTGCTTAATTTTATGAACCCTATATGGTGGTCTCCCTTTACTACCGTAGAAAAACGCATGGTTTTCCGTACGCGGAAATTATACGACTTGTAGTTTTGAAACCCTGAATGCAAGGGTAGCAGCAGGTTGGGTTCAAAATTATTCGGGAATTGGAAAAGTTTTATAAAACCAAATTATACCCTTCCTTCGAGTGTAAAATTGAAAGAAGACGTAATTTTCTACTGAATGAGCAAAAGAATGAATATTTTTGTGCATATTTTCCATGAAATATAATTTTATCTTTAAGGGCATCGAAAATAAATGCAAGCAATGCATGCTAATTAAGTAGTCATTCTTTACGGAGTATGGTTTTTGGATGCAGCCGAAAAGAATTTTGTTCGAAAGCCAACGTCCTGGGGTAACTGATTTATTATAGAATTATGCTGTTCGACTATTAGTTTTAAAACCTTAGTTAATTACTCTTTTCGAAACGGAAGGGCATTTCGGAATTTCTGTTGACATTCCATGAGTTAGCCCACTTACTGTAGTTCCATCTGACTACCGACAGTCCGGTCGTCACCGATGATGTCCTCATGTGTCCCACGGCAGTGTGGACGCAAAGACGGCGACTTAAGCGCGAGTTAGCTTGTAGTGACAGCCAACTTGCGATGCATCTACCGCACCCTCCCTCTCCCCACTCTCCTGGGCCCGGTGTCAAGGTAGAGTCAAAAAGACCACTTACGGGATCGGACGCAGGTAGCTGGCGCGGCGTGAAACCCCTCACCTAGGTGTGCCACCACATCCCCCGGCCCGCACACAAAGGACAAGAAGAAGGGGGGGGGGGGCGACTTGAATCACAATCAAGCGCTAGTGCCACGTTAATGAGCTTTACGTAGCCTGACCCTCCGCCCTGAGAGGAGGACCAAGCTATCTTATCAGTTGGCAGTCGTCTAAGCTAAGGTTTTAGCGCAAGAATAGTAGACACAAGCCTTTCCAAGAGAATACGGGAACACCTCCCGGCATGGCTGGGAAAAGGCGAAACTAGAAGCATAAACAGCGCCATTCTCGCGCATGTTGTCGATTCCGGACATCGTGTGGACCCCAACGAAGCTTTTCGTGTGATCTATAAGGTCGCATTGAGCTACCCTAAACCACTGGGACAGCACCTGTTAGCAACAGCAGAGGCGGCCGCCATCAGGTTGCGAAAACCAATCTTGTGCGCACAGAAGAACCACGTTCAGGGACCGCGCCTCCAGCACTCGAGGGTCGACTATCGCTACAACTCTCCCGCGCCCTTCCGCTCTCGCCCCGCCCCTGACACTGACTGCTATTACCTCCCCCCCCCCTCCCCCACATTCTCGCACCCAGCCTGTGTTTTAAGGCAAACTTTAATCGATTTATCTTATCACTGACGTGTTTTACTTCTACCCCCTTCCCATATAATTGTACAGGCCCGATTAGAATTTATCGAAAGCTACGTATGCTCCCCACCACGTCTTCTGATTACTGCTATGGGAATTTTCGCAATTCCTTTCAGATTTACTTCATTGAGCAATATGCGCTTAGAGTCGATTCCACACACACTCTCTCTCTCTCTCTTTTCCCTCTCCCAGGCACGAGTCCAATATCCGAGCCAGTCACTCGTCTCTGACTATTAATCGGCACAACGCACGCGGGGCATTTCATATGCAGTGCACAGAGGAGAATCGGGTCACCAGATGAGGGCTCGGTGAAAGTCAGCATGGTTACTGAGTGCGCGCAGAGCCGAGTCCCTGAGTCTGTACACGATCTGTCCACTCAAACATGCCGTTACTTCTGACTTCAGGAGCTTCGAATTGTCGGCTTCTGCGCCTCGACAAAGCTCACTTCTCGCGCTGGCTCACAGTGCAGGGTGACGCCGCCCCTGGCGCCTCAGTAGTGCATCATCGATACAACCCAGTGAGCTTCCGGGTGCAGTCGCTCACTCTTCCCTCGCCATCCCCGCACTCAGTGGCGATCTGCTGTACTGATGTCTCAACTGGGACCAACCACATTCGTGACATGAGTGGGGTTTCGCGCGAAATTACTACATTTGGGGTTTGTTGCGTACGCGTGTGTGCGTATGCGCGTTAGTGCGTGCGTGTGTGCGTGACACACGAGTACTTC